AACAAAACAAACAAAAGGGGTCCTAATAGCTGTAGGAAATTAAAAGACAATATATATAAAAAAAAAAAAATAAAAAAAAAATATATATATATATATAAATAACATGAATTATAACAGCATAAAAATTGAATTATTATATGATTATAATCAAAATAAATAATCATTGTATAAAATATTTTTAAATATCTTAATAAAATGAATAAATATTTGTATCATTATATTAATATTGTTTGTTTCTTTTATATTATACATAAATTTATATGTATATATTATACAGAGATTTTTATGTGTGTGTGTGTGTGTGTATATATATATATATATATAGAACATACTGTCTAACAGCATAGCTTATAAACCCAAAGAATACTCTTTCTGGTAATCTTTCCTCATCAAACTGCACCATTACAGATAAGCTATCCAGCTTTTCTTTATCTCTAACATATTTCAGACGTTTGACCCCTACCACTTTTGCTCCTGATAAACTTCTCTTGATTGTGTCTTCTGATACATCTGTTGGGACCCCTGTTATTACTCCCTTCATCCATTTCTTCTCTTCCAACAGTGTACACGAAATTTTTTTCCCTGCTAATGTCTTTAAGCCTAGTACCTGTTTTTGTTGTCTGCTATCTTTACAAAAAAGTAGCAACTTTCCATTCCGTAACATTTTCGCATGTTCGATTTTCCCGATCTCTTCTTTGATCGCTTTAGTTATTTTCAGTGGGTTCAATGCATTCATATTATCGGACAAGAAATGTATCATTACCTTAAACTCTTCCTTTTTCCTTTTCTCCTGTTGTCTTTCCCTTTCACTTTCCGAACCAGAAAGTTGATTCCATTTTTTTTTCCTTTTCCGATTTTCTACTATGTTCCAATTTCCATTTTTACCTCCTTTCTCCCCGCCACTACATTCATCCTCTATGTCCAGCTCACTTCCTGATCCTACGTCACTTCCTTCCATCTCTGCTCCAGTCACATCCTAGTGTCGCCAACCGCCCTCGTCGTCTACTTCACTTTGTCAGGCAGTTCCTATTTAAGAGATTTCTTGATTGCGACCAGGTGTGGCAGTAATCAGGCCTGGATGTGGCTAGAGAAATTGAACTCAGGTGTGATAAACCACAGTTTTAACAGAACAGGGGGGCAAACACTTCGTCACACAGGGCCATGTAGTTTTGGATTTTGTTTTCCCTTAATAATAAAAACCTTCATTTAAAAACTGCATGTTGTGTTTACTTGTGTTATCTTTGACTAATATTTAAATTTGTTTGATGATCTGAAACATTAAAGTGTGACAAACATGCAAAAAAATAAGAAATCAGGAAGGGGGCCAACACTTTTTCACACCACTGTATATATAATTTATTATATATGAATTATTAGTACATATATATAAAAAATAATATAATTAATAATTGTAATCCAAATAAATATAAAATCATTGTATGTAATAAATATTTTATACTAAAATGTGTATAGAAATGAATGATTATATGGCCCATGTATATACTTCTTGAACTGAATTTTTTGGTTTGTGCAGGACCACCATCAGAATTAAAAGTCTGCCCGTGCACACAGCTTAGAGGGAACGTTGCTTGCAGTTATTATTGGATCTTGTTGATGTAATTGTTTTGTTTGATGTGCAGTAGATGTCATTATCTGATTTGCTTTACTTAAGGATCATTCATGAAGATGGCTACTCAGATGAGGAGTGCAAGCAGTATAAAGTTGTGGTTTATAGCAACACTATTCAGTCCATCATCGCCATTATCAGGGCCATGGGCCGCTTAAAGATCGACTTTGGGGATCCTGCAAGAGCGGTAAGATAAATAAATTTAAAACGCACACAGAATTGCCCATAAGCAATCATGTATTACTTCTCTCGTCTAGACTGGTCGTCTAGTGCTGGAATTTGAGTACAGTGATGCCTGTAAAATTCACCCTCTGGTCAACCCAAACAGAGTTTAGTACATGGAAAAATTTACTATTTCTAAATACACTAAGAATCCAGAGATGTTTTCCCACAGTGTTATTCACCAAATGAACAAGGAAGAATGATATTTAAACGTATTTATATTCAGGAATATACATAGAAATAAATAGCATTATCTACCCATATATGTTTTAAAGGGGTCATATGATGTTGCTAAAAAGAACATTATTTTGTGTATTTGGTGTAATGAAATGTTTATGCGGTTTAAGGTTCATTAAGGTTAAAGGAAAACACATACTTTAATTTTCCACATACTGTACATTATTGTTTCTCCTCTATGCCCCGCCTTTCTGAAACGTGTCGATTTTTACAAAGCTCATCGGTCAGAAAAAGCGAGGTGTGCTGTGATTGGCCAGCTATCCAGTGCGTTGTGATTGGCCGAATTCCTCAAGCGTGTGACGGAAATGTTACGTCCCTTACCATATTGTGATGCATGTGGCAACCACATGTGACGACCCCAGGCTGGACTTCGTTTCGTCCACGGTGAAAGCCGATCCGGAGATCCACAGTGCGATGTGGATGTATTTCCTCAGCGACCAGTACGGATCAGCTCTAGGCATGACGAAGCAGATATCGTCCTCTTTTGGAAGGCCAAACAAAGTAGTTTCGCTTTCACAACGAAACACACGGCAACAACAATACTACAGCGAAATCTATGCAAATCTTCCCACATTGTGACGTAGACATGTGGGGGCGTGTTAGAACGAGCCGTTTTAGGTAGGCGTGGTTGACTCTTAACTTTTATAAAGAATATCTCTTTGGATTTGAGACTTTAGTCTTTGCAACTTTACAGATCTTCTTTATGCACCAAGAGCTTGTAACACTCCAAAGAGAAAGGAAAATTGAAATCGCATCATATGACCCCTTTAACTAAAACAGTTTATGATAAAATGCCATTTTTTCTGTTCAGAAAGAAATTATATTATACCTGAATTGAGTACAACAAAATAATAGAAATACAATAAATAAGCAATAAATCAACAATGTATTCCTTATTGCTATCACACAAAATAAACATCTAACGTAGCTAGCGTAGCTTTATTCATGAACTTATGAGGTATATTTTAATGAATCAGTCAAAAAGACTCAAATTCATGAGAAAGATTAGGTTGAATCAGTCTTGACGATTCATGGATAACAAACTCTGCAACTGAAATTGACTGACAGCTTGTCTTGTGTCATAGTAGCATAAATGGAGACCAGTTTTTTAGATTGTCTTCTAATGTTGTTCTGTTTAACATCAGGACAATGCTCGGCAGCTCTTTGTGCTCGCCGGCACTGCAGAGGAAGGAGTCATGACCCCTGAGCTCTCTGGGGTCATCCGCCGGCTGTGGAAGGACGAAGGAGTGCAGACGTGTTTCATCAGATCACGAGAGTATCAGCTCAATGATTCAGCAGCCTAGTAAGTGCACTTGAGTATTCTATAGTATAGATGGACCAAGGTTTCTCACAGGCTTTTCTGTGCAGCATAGCAGAGTGACCACAGGTGTAGTTCATCACATTAACATGTCTGACAACCTGAAAGTGTCCAAATAATCTATAAATACATATAATTTGTGTTTGTGCTATATTTCTTTCAAATAAATGCTATTGGTTTGATATTCTGTTATAATGGATTAACATTCATAAACATTTGTGACCCTGGACCACAAAAGTCATAAGGGTCAATTTTTTGAAATTGAGATCATCTCTGAATCATATCTGAAAGCTAAACTGAATAAATAAGCTTTCCATTGATGTATGGTTTGTTATAATAGCACAATATTTGGCCAAGATACAACTATTTGAAAATCTGGAATCTGAGGGTGCAAAAATCAAAAATACATTTTTTATATATTTACAGTAGGAACATGGAACATGATCTTTACTTAATATCCTAATGATTTTTGGCATAAAAGAAAAATCGATAATTTTGACCCATACAATGTATTTTTGGCTATTGCTACAAATATACCCCAGCGACTTAAGACTGGTTTTGTGGTCCAGGGTCACATTTAAGAGTCCAAATACTTTTTCGGTACAATGTTTAGACAAACTGGATTAAAGTAAACAGTTATTCAAACAAAATATGCAAATGTTTATTTTGGCTTATAACTTTAGCAAATATTATTTTTACTTACAGTACATTTGGTTTATTGAACCATAATTTGTCTCCACAGAATCATGCTTTTGTTTGAATTGATTGATTAACAAGTAATTCGTTTTTGGGTTCCTGAATGGGAAAGATTCAGGTTGAGGCACAGTTGTACAGCTAATCGAGATCCATCTAGCTTGTGCAAACTTGTTTAGCATTTTTTACCTGGTAGATTCCAGCTCATTGACTGGGGGGAAATTTGTGGCTTTCTGAATTGCATTGCACAACTTTATTTCCTTAGATTTTTCCATGTTGCAGTCATTCTTTCACTCTGTTTTCAGCTTTGGCAGCCACTAAGAATGTTTCCAGTAATAATCAAGAGCAAAGTTCTTTCCTGTCAATGAACTCATGCTTTCATGCAGCGAAACTATAGAGCCGAATCTTCTAGTGAAAGAGAAGCTTTGTGCTCCTGTGTTATTGCAAAATCAGAGGGGTGGGTTGTTCTGATGAATACATCTTTATTTTAGCAACAGCAGTGCATTAGTAACATCAGCCCTGTATTGCGGTGATTCTCATTTTTTTTGCACCTCTTCCCCACCAATCAGTCAGTCAATCAATATTTATTTCTATAGCGCATTTAAAAACGACACAGGATGACAAAGGTGCTTTGTACAACCAAAATTACAAAACACCTTTTAAACATATACAATAAAACACAAAACACATCACTATCCATTTCATTGCATCTAAGGATAATTATATGCAAAAGACTAAGAGTAGAGATTCGTCTTCAAATTAGATTTAAAACACTCAATAGAGTCACAGGATCCAAATACTGAGTTTATTTTTTTTGGTTTCCTGAATGAGAAAAATTTACCACCATAATCATTTGTTAATCCTACAATAATAGCAGAAAACTTACACTACAGTTCAAACGTTTAGTGTCAATAAGTGATTGATTTTTTTTTTTAGCAAGGACGCAATAAATTGATCAAAAGTAAGATATTTATAATGTTTCAAAAATATATTTAAAAAAAAAATGCTTTTCTTGTTCATCAAGGAATACTTTCTGTTCATCAAGGAACCCTGAAAACTGTATCCTGGTTTCCACAAACATATTAAGTAGCTAGTACAGCTGTGAGTAATGGCTGCTGAAAATTCAGCCGTGCGATAATGGGAATAAACATTTTAAAATGTTAAAATAGAAAACGGTTATTTTAAATTGTAATGATATTTCACAACATTACTGTTTTACTGTATTTATGATCAAATAAATGCAGCCTTGGTGAGCATGAGAAACTTATTTCAAAAACTTTTTAAAAATCTTAACAACCCCAGACTTTTGAAAGGTAGTCTATGTTTTTATGTCACATACTCATAAATATAGAATTATAAATATTAAATAAAGAAAAGATGGTGGTTGCCAGATCAAAAAAAAAACATATATTAAAATAAAATATAATAAAAAGTATTATCAGCTGATATTCATATGCATGTAGATCTCCGAACAGGTGCAGCCTTTTAAATGTGTTCCAACTACTGAGACTGTTTACGTAATAGACCCTACATAAAGTAAAGAAAATAAACCGGTTTTGATTTTGGTGGTTTTAAAATTTCTTCTAAATACTCATTAAATCATCTTGACATTTTCATTGTTGTTTTTTAAATGGTTTCACTCAAAATGCTCACAATGGTTTGTCTCTTGTCCAGCTATCTGAATGATCTGGATAGGATATCCCAGCCCACCTACATGCCCACTCAACAAGATGTGCTGAGGACTCGAGTCAAGACCACTGGCATTGTAGAAACACACTTCACCTTCAAAGAGCTCTACTTCAAGTAAGTGCCTTCCTTTCCTTTCCTTTCCTTTCCTTTACTTTCCTTTACTTTACTTTACTTTCTTCCTCATGTCCTGATCACTGTATATTGCTTGTGTCCAAACAGGATGTTTGATGTTGGTGGCCAGCGTTCAGAGCGGAAGAAATGGATTCATTGTTTTGAAGGCGTCACTGCTATTATCTTCTGTGTGGCACTCAGCGACTATGACCTGGTGCTAGCTGAAGACGAAGAGATGGTGAGTTTCCTTCACCATCCTGAAGTGAGGCCTATAGAGATAAATCAGAATGGCACACTAGTCTGTTAACAAGATCACAGGGCCAATTCATTTGATATGATGGATTAATGAAAATATAGTAAAATAATATAATCAGCAAGAAAAGCTACTTCCAGATCTCAGTGTATATATTTTTTATTTCTTCATAGCCACCACGCGGGATGTTCCATTTGTCCTGGTTGTGTTAAAGCAATTTCCACATAGCTCCTGGAAAGGCTGCATAGTTTCCTCATGAGACCTAATTGCTTAAAATACACTGACTATTTTTTCATACAAGGATGATTTGAGGTTGCATATTGATTTTCAGTGGAGTCAATATTCACAGTGTTATAGAATGAATTAACCCTTGATTCCATTGCGTTTATGTTTTCAAATGTACTTTTTGAAAATCTCAGCTCTCACTTGTCAAACCAAGCAGTGTCTAAACAAATGTGAATCTGAGTCATATGGGGATCTCGATGTGTCCACAGAACCGTATGCATGAGAGCATGAAGCTTTTTGACAGCATCTGCAACAACAAATGGTTCACAGACACATCCATCATTCTCTTCCTCAATAAGAAGGATCTGTTCGAGGAGAAGATCAAGAGAAGTCAACTCACGATATGCTACCCAGAATACTCTGGTGAGAATATATTAAATATTGAATTATTGTCCTTATGATTGAAAGGTTATTTAGTGGTTTAAATAACATATATTAACACACATACATTAGTAGCTTGCATTTAAACTCAGTGTTGAGTTTATATGTACAGTAGTGATTGACGATGCCACTCAGGAAAGTGATTGTTTCGGGACAGTATATTCAACAATACTTGTATTACTCCTGATAACTTGGTTCAGTCCTGGAAAACATGAACTATTTGAATCATGTCTAAAATTAGATGGATCTGCAGATAATCAGTAAGTCATATTTTTACTCAAGCATCATTATATTGGTAGAGCCTTTGGGGCAAAAAGCAGAGTGGATGAATTATTGCTTGTTTATAAAAAGTTATAAAACTGAAGTAGGGACTATGTGAGGTTGAGTTTGAACAGCCCTATCAGAGGAGGGGAGCTTTTCGTTGTCTAAGCACTGTGGAAAACCTCTGTTTTGTGTCTGCTAGTCATCATCCTTCAGGGCCGGGTGAAAGTTGAGTCTTGCCGGTTTTGAGATGTTTTAGTGTTTCTCTCAGTCTTTATATTTTAGAAACAGTACATTTCAGTGGTGGAAAGAGAACTGAAATAATATACTCGATAAAAGTACAATTGCATTCCGAAAAATGTGACGTGAGTAGAGAAAAATGTACTTGTCCAAAAAACTACTTGAGTAAGAGTGAAAGAGTAGCTTATTTAAAAGTACTCATGAGTAGTGAGTACTGAGCTGTGGATTTTACCCCCTTATAATAAACGCTGTACACTGCAATTTAAACATTTAGAAAACATTTTACATACTGTAATTCACATTATCTTTTGTTGTTTGTCAGAAAGAATTAATAATATCTATCATCCAGCAGTTTTAATTTTGACTGCCAACTCTGAATGGGAGTGGAATTTACCGCATTATGAACATGACACTTGCGGGAGTTATTAACATTGTACGCAATACCCGCAACCTCACACCAAATTTCCAGCCCTGTACTGTATATAGGCTAGCATATACAGATAATTTAGTAAGCAGAAATCCGAAGTTTACCTTGACATATCAGAGGAAGATGCTGATAACTCGACTGAATTGGTGCTTGAAGAATACTCTTCCATCAGCCATGATTCTCACCAGTTGGCAAAAGTTTTCTATGCACAATTTTATTTGACGAGAGTTACGAAACCGATTGCCGTCTCCCTATCCAATCACGTTGATTTATAGAAATAAAATTAAAACAAGCATGTAACGACCACAAACAGAGGGAAAATAGCGGAGTAAAAGTACAGATACATCACTTAAAATGTAACGTTACTCGAGTAAAAGTAAAAGTACGCTATTTTTAAACTACTCAAAAAAAAGTAAAATTTCTAATAATAAAACTACTTAATTACAGTAACGTGAGTATTTGTAATTCGTTACTTCACAGCCCTTGTACATTTACAGAAGTTGGTTTGTCCTGAGCGTATTTCATTGAAATCAGTCATGTATGAAAAGTGGCACAGTTTATTTTGCCAATGGGCTGGACCATTAGAAGAAACTTTTGCCTCACTTCATTTGTCAAAATTAGTGTTGTTTTCAATCTGTCAATTTTGATAAATGTAATCCTTGCTGAATAAAAGTAATAATTATTTCAATAAATAAATAAAATAAAACGTTTGCACGGTAATAAAATTCACACAAATCTTAAACTCTTCTCTGTCATATGACGTTCAGGAACAAGCACATACAAGGAGGCAGCGGCCTACATCCAGTGCCAGTTTGAGGATCTGAACAGAAGAAAGGACACAAAGGAGATCTACACACACTTCACTTGTGCCACAGACACCAAGAACGTACAGTTTGTGTTTGATGCGGTCACTGATGTCATCATCAAGAATAACCTCATAGAGTGTGGCCTCTATTGAAGCATCATCTGTCTGCTAAGGTAAGTGCAGCGAAAGAGAAAAGGACTTACAGGACAGAATGTGAGAGCTTTTTCACAGTGTGCATATTTATCTGTGCATATGTTTTCACACTGAAATCATGATTCATTAATTTTTGCACTTGTTTTTTTTTTCTACATTTAGAACATAGAACCATACGGATAAAAAAAAGCACAGACCAGTGGTGAAAATCTTGAAATCATTAAATCTGTTAACCCTAAATGTGTTGTTCCTGGTTTTGTCTGGTGGCGAATGAACAAGAGAGACTTCCTCCCCACTGCATGCATTTTTCACGCTAAATGCGGTACCTATGCCCATGGACAATTTTTCCCCATCCGTTCTTAATGACAGTCTGTTATGGACATTATTTTTTCTGCCACTTCCTTTTAGTCATTATTTTATTGCCAATACAGCTTCATTCTGTTCATTTCCTGTTTCCTTTGTAGGTATTACATGACACACCACTATGCATAGACCATAATCCGCAATAGATGGTAATATGTGCCTATGCTAACCTCCACTGCATCAAAGATCTTTGTTTTTTCAACACTGCAAAGTACAAACAGTAAGATTTCATTTTAGTAAGAGTAATTTTAATAACAATGTATCAGTTCTTATGGGAAAGTTACTATTTTGCCATGTTTTTCATAGTGATTACTTGGCTAATTTATTTATTTTATAGGTCTGTCTTTAAGTTTGCATATAATTGCATACATATCAGATGTATATTGTGTTATATTATTGTCATACCTTTAGTAATTCACAGCCCAATCACACAGCAACAGGACACCATTTATTTTTTCACTAATAAGACATGGATCATTTTATATAACACTTTGCATAACACACTATTTTTGTATCTCTTGAGGACCAGTAAAGGTGTGAACATGTTTTTCTCACAGATACATTCCTGAATGGTGCAGAAATAATGACCCTCTGTTGGGTCAAGAGCACTTGGGAACAAATGCCATGAAAACATGAACATGATTGCCAGATTTGCATTCTTGATAAGTATAGATTTTTCTAAGACTTGTTTGATGTGATTGTTTAATCCTGTGGATTTCAGTATTTTAAAACAAACTGACACAATGTGATCTGGTTTGTAATACCTGTATTTAATCTGAAAAGAGTTGACATCAAGTTTGATGTCCATAAAATCTTGCTCCCAGAACATGCCAAACAGCCAGCATGTGCAAGACAGACATGATCCATATATTATGTAAAAAGTATGGTATTCCAGTGCTGGTACATTCATGTTCTCAGTCTGGATTCATGCAACAATCTGTGATTTCTTTTCTATATCACTGTTCTTTATTTTATTGAACTATTTCAGCTATTTGAAACATCAAAATGCAAGTGAATAACTAACATTAATTAATGATGGCACTGAATCACTAATATGCTAATAACTTGGTTTGTTTCGTTTTCTGAACACCCTTCTGTTGAGTATTAGTTAAAACCTGTTTTGTTTTGTTTTTGTCTTTTCTGATCATGTGGAACTGTCCATAGTACACGTCACTAGTACAATGTCACCAGTTGCTGCAGTTTTGAGAAAATACATATATAATCAAATGACCTTTGTTTAAGGAAACGTATAGTATATACATTATCATGATCAGAAATTAACTACAAGACACGAGTTGAAAATAATATACTTTTATTTTTAAATGGATTCAAGATTATCTTTTAATTTTAGTCTTCGATGTTCAAACGGTGAAGACAAATATTTACTAAGAATCATACCTAAACATATTTTATTTGTCTTGTTTTAGTGACACTGTGTATCTGGTCTAATACCTCAAATGTGCAATTGCCATCTTTGGCTCTTTTATTTCCTACTATTCCCATTGTTTCTCTGATTGTGCCTGTGGCTCTAAATGTTGTATATTTGTGTAGTCTCACGACTGTTAGATATCTTTACTACTCATTTTAGCTGTCATAAAGACACCTCTTTTTTTATTATATAATACTCTTAGCAAAAAAGTGTTTTGTACTGTGGTTCATTCAAAATTAGCTCTGACACAAAGGGTCAGTGTTTGAAAATCCCAATTAAAACAATGTACGGTCAGTGTTTTGTGAAAGTGCGCAATTACAGTAGAGCTAATGGCCAGCCATTTGCAGCACATAATAGTAATTCAACACCAGCAACCAGTGGAATTGATGCAAGTCTTTATTTCATGTGCCTACATTTACATTCCAGAACATCTCCACAAATTCAGACCTCAGGTTTTAAACAAAGCAACAGGCCATTCTAGAATTTTCACTTGTTACTGTAATACTGTATCACAAATCTATAGATTTATGTCTCCATATATATTTTATATTGAATCTTTTTTTTCCCCTACTCTTATTTACAAAACATACTGCCCAACTGTGTTTGGGGCTGAAAAGAAACATCTTTCATATATTGTGTGAGCTGGTTGAATTCAAACAATCACGTCCTGCTGATATGCAAGTTTTAACTCTCTTAAAGGAGACCAGATGCTGTACATTTAAGAATGTCTTTAATTGTTACCATGAGATCTGATGGGGTCCCACTTCAATTTCTTTTAATACAGCAATATTCAATTGCATTAAATTTAGTTTTCTTTTTTTTTTTGGAAATGAATGGAAAAAACAGTGAACAGTCAAACCTCTATAGGTTTAACATTAAAACACACTGAGAGGAAGCTTCTCTACAAGCATCAATAACTCCGCATCAAAAGTCCCCTTTCTTTGGTAATCCTTCTCTCATTGACTACTAGCGGTTTGACAGGAAATGTTTTTAGAGTCCCTTTGGAGAGCAGAGGCCATTAGTCTAATCTGGATCTAGTCTCTGAGGTTTGGTTAGGTTGTTGAGGTCGTTCTTTGGGTGGGGATCTGCTGACCACACTTGACTGCTTGCTGTAGAGTTCACCGTCATGCCACCTGTGGATGTTCTTTTGTTACTGTGACAACTTCACCAGAGTAATTCCAATCATGCAGGTGGGGATGGGACAGAAAGATCTGAAAAAAAACAACAACAATTTTAAGTAAATTCTTAAATTCAAAGAAAAAAAAATCCCATTGAAATGATTTAATAGAACTTTCTAAAGTTATAATACCATCTACACTGGAAGCGTGGGAGTGTTATGCCATCTAAGCATGTTTACTACCACGGACCATGTTGATGTTAGAAGTATAGATAGTAAAAATAGAAGTAGAAACGGGGGCATCCATCAACTGAAGGCGATGGGAGTTATTTACGGTTGTGTCCGGTGTAGACAGGGAGTAAGAACCTGCTGTGTGTTTTTAGGGACATACCTTTGAAAAAGATAGTGTTTAGAACAGACCGCAGTCCTTAAGGTTTTCTTTGATGATAATGTCTGTCACAGCGTTAAACACAATCTCGACGTTCTTTGTGTCCGTGGCACAGGTCAGGTGTGCATAGATCTCCTTCACTCCCTTCTTCATGTTCAGATCTTGAAATTGAGTCTTGATATAGTTGCTGGCATCTACTTATGTGTTTGGACCTGGAAAATTGGGATTTTCAACATCATATTTGGTGAGCAAATTCAATAAAGGTTGTTAAGACTGTTGGGTATTTGTATTTACAGTTCAAGTACCATCAATTGTTTGCTATGAGCTATGATGCCCTTATATACTGTTTCATTCATTTATTCACCTTCATACTGATCTAAACCTGTATGATCTTCTATCTTCTGCTGAGGTGAATGTTTGAAGAATATCCTGACAACTATTTCTTCAGTATAATGATGTGAACGAAAGAAGCTTAAAAAATAATGCAAAAGCATCATAAAATGTCCATACCAGCTATAAGAAGCCATATCAGAAACAGACTGAATTCACTGAAGTCATTATTCACTAATAGTGTCCTCACTTCCAGTGAGCTGTTAACCATTGTGATTAGTTTGAGTCCAATAGTTCACGGAGTTCATTTAAAAGATCTGGCTCAAAAGAATGATTCATTTGTGAATCAGACATTGTCTCTCATAAATGTGCCAAGGAGAGCTAGAGCTAGGGCAAATCAAGATTATTAACTTAAATTTCAGTCTGTACCGCACAAAGCTATCATATGCCTTCAAAAGAGTCATATGAACCTCTTACATTATATTTTTATGGTGCTTTTTTGTCATTCTGTATCTTAACAACTCCAGTCCTCATTAATCTTCAGTATGTTTACAAGAGTGACCAGGATGTTTTCTTTAAAAAAAATTCACATATGTTCTACAGAATAAAGTCATACAGGTTTGGAACGGAATGAGGGTGAGATGATCATTCATTTTTGGGTAAATTACTGTTTTAAGGTGGTGTGTTTATTTACATAGAGACCTCACTCACCATCATATTCAGGGAAACAGATGCTCAGGTGGACTTGATCTTCTCCTGGAAGAGATCTTGTCGAGGAAAAGCACAATGGAAGTTGTGGCGAAGAACCTGTGGTTGCAGATACTGTTGAAGAGATGGAGACTCTCATGCATGCGGTTCTGGGAGAAACATAACAGAGAAAATATAAGCTGAGATGCACTGCTAGAACTTCAAACATTGTTATCTAATCCATTTAATGGTTTCTATGATATTTACAATATGACTGATCTTGTGGTCTTTGGTGAATAAAGGATGTGTAAGGACTGTTCTTCACTCATCAAAATAAAGTTTCCAAAAAAGGGTTTGCACAGTGATGCCGTAGAAGAATCTTTCAGTAACTTTTTTTTAAAAGAAACATTTTTTCTTAGTGTGAAGAACATTTTAAAAAGCTAAAGTACCTAAATCCACAATAAAGAAGCTTTTGTTCAATGGAAAGATTCCATGGATGTTAAAGGTTCTTTATGGAACCATAGATGGCAATAAAGAACCTTTATTTTTTAGTGTTGTCTAAAGATCAGCACTTACCACTTCATCATCTTCTACCAGCACCATGTCGTAAGCGCTCAGGGCTCCACAGAAGATGATGCAAGTCACACCTTCGAAACAATGAATCCACTTCTTCCTCTCAGACCTCTGGCCACCCACATCAAACATCCTGTGGCCCAGTGAAAAATCATGAAAAGGTTTCATTCAAAATGCTGGTTCTTTTTGTTCTAGTTACACAAGATCAGTTAAAATCAACCTAACATGGTCCTCTCACATGAACAGTCACACATTTTAGGTCTTGAGTTTCTTTACAGTAGCAATTTTTGTGGCTCTCGATTTTAACAGAGTATGCACAACAGTTGATTCGATCACATTAGCCAGTTAAGACACCTGAAGTAGAGCTCTTTGCAGGAGAACTGTTCCTCAATAATACCAGTAGTCTTGACTCGAGATCTCAGCACATCCTGCTCGGTGGGGATGTAGTCAGGTTTGCAGATTCTGTCCATTTCACTCAAGTAGCTGTTTGAGATGAGCTATAAATTAGCCATACATTTGCATACACACCTGAAATGTTCATCTGCTAAAGTCCTGGAAATCTCCCAAGCATAACAACTGTGTACTTAATGGGTGCCAAACTCACAGCCCTGCAGAGTTTAGCTTCAACCTTATTTAAACGCACCTGATCCAGCTAACCAAGTCCTTCAGGATTATTTGAATACTACGGCCAGGGTTGGAACTAAACTCTGCAGGACTGTGGCCCACCAGGAGCTGAGTTTCGAACCTTGGTGTACTGCATTCCCACAATACGAAGTGAATTATGGACAATGCAGCCACACCCTCAGGCTCCAATGAACTCCATAGGTATTGCTGTCCCTGTTGAGTGTTGTACTCACTATCCAGCAGAGTCGTTCAGCTGGTACTCAGCAGCTCTCATACGAGGCCTGCACACCTGAATCCTTCCATAGCCTCTTGATGACGTCTGCCAGCTCTGGAGGCATGGTGCCCTCCTCAATGGAGTCAGCCAGGTTCTGGAGCTTCTGACCGTCCTCCTGCATGAGACAAAGAAATTGGGCACTGTTAGCCTCCATGCAGTTAGTCGTTAATTCTTTCTATTATTTAAAGATTTGTGATAAAAGGGAAGTAGCAACAGATCTTTTCTCCTTTATTGTGACATTGACTTGGTAAATCCAAGTGTAACGGATTATTGAAAAAAAAAAAAACTGTAGGGCGGGGACTTGGTTCTGTGTTCTTGGTTCTAGCAGAGAGAAGGTACTGATATCCACCCTTTAGGGGTGAATAAGGTATAAGGTGTACCTTTTGTTAGCGCCCCAGTGGCAACTTTTGTACCTTTTTTCCTAAGAGTGTATTGTGAACAATTTATCCACGCATAATGTTTAATTTTTTTTAAATGTTATATAAAAGGGGGAAATTTCCTTTCATGCCAAAAATGTTGTTGTGTTTCAGCGTGTGCATTTTGATGGTATGTGAATGTCTACACACTAATCATTTGTTTTGGAGTTGTTTTGCAGACCTGTGCTGCTGGTGACCCAAAGTTGATGTCCAGCATCTCCATGCCTCTGATGATGGCCATAGCAGATTGCAGGATGTTGCCAAAAATAATAGATCGAAACTCTATTTGTTCTTCTTTTGTATAACCACCTTGATGGAGAATTCTTGGGGGAGCAACAGAGTGTTTTTGATTAACGTTTTGAAGGTGAGTACAGTACCATCTGGTTCACATTCACTACCATCTGGTGGTCACACATTAGCATTACAAGGGGTAGAACAGACTGCAAGTACTGACATTTCCCAAATGCACACCAATTCAACTAGAATGCATGGATGATATTTTAATTTATCTTCAGGTTTAAGAATATATATATATATCCTGAATTATGTGATTCCACAACCCGTAACGATACAAACTGACTGTTCTGAGCATATATTTTGGATGTTGCATGAATTTAAACTCACTTCATCTGTTTTACAATGGTGCTCTTCCCTGACTCGCCAGCACCTACAAGACAGAAAGAGAAAAATATGATGCAGAACAATGTATGACTATGAGCAACATAAGAACAAATGAGGAGCCCTCGAATGCTTTTAAACTGAACTCCAGACAATTTGCCGGCTAAATTATATGTCTCTATATGACGTTTACCTTTTAAATTGCTAGTCAGTTTCACACATAATTACAAAGACACCGCAAGTGACACACTGAATTAAACGTGAAATTTTGAAGCAGAAAGACGGAAATAGTATTTTTCCGTAAAAGATACTCCAGTAATCTTAGAATAATTTTTACAGTGTACATTATGGTTACTGTAGGTCTTACACGTTTCATAGTGCCTTTTCCCGGAATTATTTGTTTTGAATTTATTTATTTGAATTGTTTATTTTCTGCTCTGTGGATTTTTATTTTTAATAACGAGGTCCATGTTAAGCGATAGATGATCTGTTAAGAATAAACTTATAGATTGTCATTGATGGCCAGGTCGGAGGAAGGCTCTTTAACATGCTTATAAAGTGACCCAATTGGATTTGTGTTAGGGAAAGCCTCTCAGAAGATCACTGACACTTTGATTTGTCTTGGAGCTTCAGTCAGTCCAGGGCAAGGTAAGGC